ACACGGAGAGGCGGCTGCTGCTGCTGGGCAGAAAGGAGTCGTGCAGGAGCAGCGGCTGTACTCGGACGCCACATTCCCTCTGTACGGGGCTGGTGGTGAGGATGAGCGAGAGCTGACCCTGCCGCGCCGCCGCCTGTGCTGTGAAGTGTCTGCTCCTCCTCCTCCTTCTCTTCCTCCTCCTCCCCGGCTGTGGGTGAACCTGCGCTACGGGCTCTTTACCGACACGGGGGAGGCTGGTTTGTTTTGTGCATTTGTTTAAGGCAAAGAGAGAGAAAGAGGTCTTCCACCCGCTGAAGCACAGTTCACTATGATCGTACTCGCATCCAGCACTGGAAGCCGGTTGGATTTCGTTTCTCAATCCAGGGTGTTTTTCTTGCAAACCTTCATTTGGATTTTATGTGCTACAGTGTGCAAAGCGGAGCAGTATTTCAATGTGGAGGTAAGATCAGCCGGATGCGTGTGCGAGCGTGTGTGCTTCCCCCTCTCCCTTTCCTCCCTTCCCTTTTTTTATGTCCCTCAAATCAAATCAAATCAAATCAAATCAAATCAAATCAAATCAAATCAAATCGCCAGCCAGCCATGTCTTCCAGCAGCCAGGGCATACGTCTGTGCAGGCTTTCCTTCCAGCCGCCGGTAGCTAGCTCCCCTCCCCGCGCTGCCCCGCCTGATGGATGCGTTTCAGCCGGAGATCCCGTTATCCCGGCTGCGCGATGCCGGGCGCTGGAGCGCAGCCCGCGGGAGACGGGAAACCCTCACCCGGGCACGGAGGAAACCTGGGGCGCAGAATGTACATGCAGCTCAGGAAAGGTTCCCTGAATGTCTTGGACTTCAGATACCACCGTATTGCTGAGTTTTCTCAGCCTTTTTTGGTTTGGTTTGGGTTTTTTTCGAAGAAGAATGAATGAAAGAGCGTTATGGGGACAGGATGAAGGAAACTTGAGATTTTTAGCACGTTTCTTTGTTGCAGAGTATCTGAAAAAAATAAGAGCTTTTTCCCATGTAGACGTAAGAGAAATAGTTGCCACTAGAAATAGTGAAACAAATGGCATAAAGGTGCAACTACAACTCGGAAGTTAGGGGGTGTGGAGGACAAGGAAACAGCATTTTTTCTGAGAGAAAATGAAGATTAAAATATGGGTATACCAAGATGGGGCAAACCCTAAGAGTTTACCCTTACAGTGACCACCCATTTCCAGTCGCCCTTGTCTACACACCCAGTTTTCCCATTAGGAGTTTTTGCATAGTGCTTTCACTTAACTAATGTTTCTTTACTGACTTTTATCATCTTTGCATATGTTCTTTCCTCCTTTTTCTCTATCCTGTCATTTCATTTGTCCTGCTATGATCCCTTACTCTACTGCAATGTGATATGTCTATTTCCTTCTTTTCCTTGTCAATTCAACTTATTGATTTTTCTTGCTGTGTCTCTGTAATTTATCTGTGTTCTTTCAGATTCTTACTCGTAATTCTAGTATTCTGTTAGGTCACTCTGTACCTTCACTTTCTTCTGTCCTGCCAACCCCACTCAAAACTTTCTGCTGCGCCCGTACACCAGCCTTTTTGTTATATAGTCTCTTTAGTTTCCTGGGTTCCCATGCATCTTCCTCCCAGAAAAACGAAGTCTGTGTCCCTGTCTCACACATATGCACACTTGCTTATTTTATATCAGCTCTTGTTCTCACTCAGTGACACACATTCTTGCTCCTTTCTCTGACAAGATTGCTCATGCAGATTCTCCTCTGTTACTAGACTGTTTATCTAAAGTTCTTACCTGTATGTCTTCTCCCTCTGTTTCATGCAAGATCATGTCAAGTGTATAAAGAACCCACATTTTCCTTCTCTAAGTCTGTTTTCATCCTGCCCTTTCCTTTTCTTCAGGCAGTTGCCTCTGCAATTCTCTCAGCTTAACAGCACTCATCCATTGATTCTTTCTTTGACTTCCATCTCTCCAGAAAGTGTCTTTTTACTCCATCATTAAAATCTCTCCTGATTATAAATCTGAGTCTTTTTTCTCTGTCATCTGTGCTCTAGTCACTCATTTGATCCTTATCACGAATGTGCATCTCTGCTTCTGTTGGATTGTAAGGTCTTTGGAGCAGGACTCATGTCTTCTCACATGTTTATGTGATGTGTACCATGCTCGAGTCTGGAGTACAACTGTGAGACTTCTGCTATATGAATATTAAAACTGCATATTTAAGAGCACACATTGGTGTTTTATCCTTCTGCTCATGTCCTCAGCTGCCTTCTTTGCTGATGAGCAGGGGAAGGAGTGTGGAAGAGAGGAAGTTGCTCTCTGTATCCTCCCCATGCTTCGCAGGCTGGCCCCCTGCAGAGTATAGGGATGAAATTCCAGCGACAGAACTTTCTCCTCCCACAGCAGTCTGCTTTGCTGGCATCTGGCTCTGCTGGAGAGACGGGCGGCAGATGGAGCTAGTGTGGGAAGAGAAAAAGATTGGTTTAGTTAAGTGGAATATGAACAGGAGGCCAGCTCCAGTCAGGAGGAGGTTTTCTGAGGGAAGAAGGGAAGCACTTTCCTTTTCGCCACCTCTTCCATATGGAAAACAGCAAAACTGAGGGTAAAGGCAATATCAGGAGCAAGAAACAGTGTTGGATAGAATGAAGTGGCATGTATATGAGGGCATGTATTTCTCCTTTTAGAAGTATCTTCTGCTCTTCTTTCCAGCGCTGCTGAAAACAAAGAGTGTTGTCATGTACCAATGCTTCCAGTCTTTTCACATTTAAGTCTGAGCCACACATTGCTGGGAGCCAGAAGAGTGTTCCAGGGGATTGTTGTAATATTTGAGAGTTGTCCTAACATGGAGCTTTTCCCTAGGTTACTGCCTTTGACCACTACTAGTGACATGGTCCTGGCCTAAATGAACTTCACATTTGCCCCAGAACAGCCATTGCTGTGTTCACATTGTTTGGATAGTGCTGAAAATTCAATTTTCTTTTTGCTGGGAACAGCAAAGGCTAAAAGCATGGGAAATTTGAGGCAAAGGACTTGGCAACAGCAAGTATGTATTGTGCTGTAAAACTCTGCGTGTCAGCACAAGTGCATACAGCAGTTGTACTTCAGAGTAAATGGAGAAAATGTAACAAAGATTTTGTACGACAATAAGAATAAATATGCAAAGTAGGCTTCAGGAAATAAGTAGTGTACATACAGTTGAATGAAATGTCACTGGAAAAAATTGCTTAGGATGGTTGGAAAACAAATTTACTTTTCATTCTTTCTTGTCTTTAAATAAAATACAGATAATACCTGTTGAACATTATAAAATATGGAGATTATTTATTTCCTCTTGTTCTGTCTTGTTTAATCCACTTTCCTGATTGATAAGTAAAATCTGTTCAGTCTTGTTGAATTTTTTGGTTTGTTTCAGTGATGTGAGCCAGGTCAGTTCTTAGAGGATACTACTGTAGCTCAAAGACATTAAATAATAATGTTTCCTTTTAAAAGTAAAACACAATGCTGAAATTTACAAACTTGTATGAACATTTCTGTTCCTTGTAATTTGTTTGTCTCTCCGTAAAATTTCTTTTAGCCAAAAAACTGAATAATGGAGGAATTCCTCAAGCTTCCAGTGACAGCTGAATTCAGCTGTCTGTCCTGAAATGTATTTATGTATACAGTATTTCATGTAATAGCCACAGCAGAATAGGTTTCAGATCATGGAATATGGTATATGACAGGGGTGCGCTTGCACTTTGTATTGATGAGAGTTTTGTGCTAAAGCTCCATGAGAAATATTTATAACTGATAGGTTAAGAAATCATGATGAAATTTAGGAATCACTTACTCATATAAAAAGGAGGGTCTTTTATATGATTTTCAAAGTTCATTGATTATCAGTATCATTTTTGTGAGACTTTTTTTCTGACTAAAACTAAGAGCTACACTCTTAGCTCCCTCTTTTAGAGCTGAACTATTGGTCCAAAACAGTAACTTCATCAAGTATATTAATGAAAGACTGTGTCATCAATGTTGAATTTTGCTGCTATTTTCAACTATTTCTGTACACTAGTAGGGGAAGACGTCCATCAATTAATGGAATTGAATAGAATAGCAGTTACAAAAAGAGCATTTCAAGTACAAGACTGCATCAAACACATAGAGGCTAATTGTTACTAAAAAGTGATTGTGCAACAAACTACCTTCTTCTTCCTACTGGGCTCCTCACTGTAGTAGTAAAATTTTGTGTGGCTCACATAAAGCTCCTTTGTGTGTTACTGGGAGTGTCTATAGATGGTCTTTCGCAATTATCTATATATTCATCTAGTGGGTATCCATATATATATTTGCTTTCCTAATCCAAACAATATTGCACTGTTTGAGCTGTGTTGTTCTGCAAATTTATCTCCTAATGCCATCCATTAGCTTTTGTATGTACTTGAATAATAAGTAAGTTTATATTTTATTAACTATTAAATATCTAATATAAAAAATGAAGACAAATGTTACCTTTTTGGTTTGGAAAAAATGGTTATTGAAACAAAAATATCTTGATCAGAAGACAGGATCAGCATGCATGTAGAATAGGATTGATCTCTGGAACATAAAGCTGCTTACTCTTACTTAAATGGGTATCTGCCTAAGCCCTGTTGAGGAAAGAGTTTTTAGAATTACACCTCGTTTCATTGACTGTATCTGTAATGTGGGAAACACTACAGAGAAAGCATGCCTCATCATTTCTCTCCTCAGGCTGGCAGTTGTGCTGTTTTCCTCCTTCTATTGCTAAATGTATAGTCTTGAATCCCTAGGGGAGGTCTTAAAATTACTCTTATTTTAGTGTGAGCAGATCTTTAAAACAATACAGTCATTTCCCATTTTCAAAAGTGGGGTAGTTAAATTGCATGTTGAGGAACAAAGCACAGTGGAATCCAAACTTCAGAAAAATAACATCAGTTTCCTCCATGGTAGTAAGTTTCTGAGAACCCCATTGTTTTCATTGTTAATAAACTTCACAATTAGCCTCCAGCTCCTGCTAAATGATAAGGCATGACCTTTTATTCCATAAGCTCTTAGTCTTTTAGGCTTAAAACCAGACCAATTTCATTCTTCAGCTGGCATCTGAAAAGGAATAAACATTTGGGAGGAGGATAAATCCTCCAAAGCACCTTTACACACTTTCAAACTAGTGGTCTTGGTTATGAGGTTTATAGGCACAACACAATTCTTTTATATTTCATTAAAATGCAAGCTGAAAACTATGGATAAGCAATTAATGTGGTTTTGGTATCAACAGTGCCATGTGTCCCAACAGGAATTTAGAGGATCTTCTGCATTGTCTGAAGTTACAGTCAGTATGTAGGATTCTCAATTAAATTCTGAATCTCACTCTTGCCTAGGATATCAATGAAATGAACTGGACTTTTGTTAGAACAAGGAGTTCAAACTGAAATTGTTAGAAGGATGGAGAGGAGTTACTGAAT